CCCCCGCAGGAGCTGGAGGAAGTGTCTGGAGAGCGGGAGGTCTGGGCATCTTTGCTTACACTGCTGCCCACGCGACCCGGCCCCGGAAAAGCGGAAGAAAATGGATGGATGGATGGATACTCAAAAGTTTTGAGGTATCAGCAGATCTGGCTACAAAAATAAATCTCTCACACATAGTAACACCACAGTTTAGAAAGACCATTAAACAGCATTTAATTAGAAAACATGAGCAAAAACAATTAAATCATTGGTCGTAACACACAGTCAAATTAAGACCTTGAATACACTCCTGGTCATTATATGTGCTCAACTTTGCATCTGCTGTCAAAACAACTTAAGGAACTCTTCTGTGAGCATAGATGTCTGTGACAATATTCAAGACAATTATCTTACATTAAAAAAAACAAAACAAAAAAAACTGCATTGTCAAGTAATTTCAAGTTAAATTATGTTAAGGCTTTCAAGCTGGCAGACACTTCACTGAGGTATCAGGTGTGCCAATTTTAAGTCCTTCCACAGTCTCCTACCAACTCATTTGGCATTTACAATTGGGGTCCTGGAGATATATATAAAGAAGAAAAAAGAGACACACTTAATAGCTTGTTGCCCACACTAGCTAAAAACTCATCAGTAAGTTTAACTTGCTACTTTGAATAAAATTTGTCGTTTAAATTCCAGATTTAGGTTTTAATATCACATGCCTTCTCTCAAAACATTTCAATTTTAAAATGAGACAACCACTCTCGTGTTAAATTTGGGTTAATTGAAGATTTAAAGAGAGTGAAAACAAATCGCTAAAGGCACTTGGAGCCTGTTATATGAACCAGGTTTAGATTTATCACAATAGTATTCCAAAACCACCACCAAAAAAAATCTCGAACAATTGTTATGTTAACTCCTGACTCATGTTTGACCTTTTGTTTCTAAATATACCCTAGCATGCAGAGATATTTGTCTTGCATACACAGATGGGTGACAAATGAAAGGAAAAACCTGAATAATGAGTGGTCTCTTCCAGGATGCCAGTGGCCCCATTCATAGGGCACGAGAGGTCACTGGATGGTTTGAGTAAGAAAATGCTGCAAATCATATGCTGTGGCCATCACGGTCACCAGGTGTCAACCCAGTTGAACACCAATGGGAGGTTTGGACCTCTGCGTCAGTGTCCCCACCACCAAAGGAGGGAATATCTTCGGAAGAATGGTGTTCTTCCCTCCAGTGAGGCTCAGAGACTTGGAAAATAAATGCCAAGGTGCACTGAAGCTGTTCAGGTGGCACGTGGTGGCCCAACACTTTGTCAGTTTTTCCTTTCATTTGTCAGCAGTCTGTACATGTATATACACGAAATGTTCCACTTTCCACACAAGTTTCCCCAAACAAAAACTGTGCGGCATTACAACAGGCAACTGACTGCAGGTCAAAAACAAATATTAGTTAGAATAATGTAGGATTTAGTGGCCTGAACCCAATTACTACCCTGCTTTCCATTTTTCTGTCACATTATGAAGATTGTTTAGAAATGCTTAGAAAATAGCCCTTGAAAGGGTAAAACAGCATCAAAGTTTTGACAAGTTTCAAAGCACATTTCAACCACCATCAAGACGGGCTCTTCACACACTCACACAGAACAGCATCATCAAAGTGTGGTTCACAACATACACTGTTGTAGTGACACTGGACCAAAGCAAAAAAAAAAAGGAAGGTAATTTACATATTATATTGGCATCAGTTTTAGTGTATCTGCATACGAAGCAGGCAGTCAAGCAAGGAAAGAAGTTTCTTTCTTTTCAAGTCTGTTACACCAGCCCTCCTCTATCATCACAGTGTGATTAAAAAATAATTAAAAAAAAAAAAAATTAAAAAGTCCCAGTGACTTTTCAAGGACTAAACTTGGATCCAAGTTTAGTCCTTGAATTTTAAAATACTCTACTCACTAAATCAAGAGGGCAATAGGACAGAACAGGATTGACCTTGAAAGAAAACAAACTAGTAAACAATTGATTGTAAGAAAAGAGATTTTTTTTTAAAAGTGCATGAAAACTTTAAAAGGTGACTTGCTTTAGAGATGAGGGTTTGGGCTTTTAGTACAACAAGCCAGTTGTTACTTAAGACGTCTGGCACTGAACACCTCCAGTGCTGGCATAGTCGTCTCTTTTCATGTAGTAGTACTGCTGGTTGCGTCTTTTTCTGTTCTCCAAGTCACAGTCCTCCAGGTCAGCGTATATATAGAGGTCATCATCCATGCTGTCTGGCTGCTCTGCATCCATCTTCTCTGGGAGGTAGCGCTCCAGCTCCTTCAACTTGTGGTTAGGGAGAAAGTTGGCTTGTGGGAACACCACCTAGTGGGAACAAAAAAAAAACAAAAAAAAAAACAACATTTTTTTGACTACAACCATCATACGACAGTTCAGCACCATGACTTGTTATCTCAAAATTTTAATGTACACGTGTGAAAATGCTAATTTCTTTGTTTAGTTTGTTGGTGAAGCAAGACAACTTTAACAGGTGATTTATAGAGTTACAGTGAGACAAGCTTCACATAAAGAATCAAAAATTAGCTCAGAATCATAAGGTGGGTGATGATAAGGTGCAGGAATAGGTGGGTGGTTTGTCACTGTAGGAGAGGAGATGGGCATTTCGTGCATGTTTGTGTGTGTGAAGCTGACACAGATTAGTTCCTTTTATAAAAATGAAAGCACGTGTTTAAAGGGAAAATAAATGAATGCATTAAAGAAACGCAAAACAGCTTACTGAGAAGTTAATAATAAGGTGTCCCTTCTCAAATGGCCTGCGATACATGGGCATCCCTTCATTCATGATGCACTTTGTGTCCCCAGGCTTGATCAGTTCTCCTGTGAAATGATGATGATGCCATATTATATTATACTTCTTCTTGCCATATGAAACAATCATTCCAACGCTTGATGAATGCATTGGGGCACTGGTCCTTATCCATTTAATTCTCAATTAAAATAAAATGAGCAACAATGTGCTTGAGGTTTGTTTTCAACCGGTTAAGTTATCTTTTAACAAGGTGGCCTACGATGATTGTGAAATACAAGCCACACCTTAAACAAACATAAATAAATAAAGACAGGGAATGGTATTTGTTTCCAGGTAAATCAAATCACTCACAAATAAGCATAATTTGGACTAAGTATACATATTTTTCTTTGAACATTTTGCAAAACTAAAATTTACACAAGTAATTTTATCTGGTCTAGAGACTAACACACCAAACCCAACTCTAAATATAGTTTGCAGCTAAAAGAACACCGTTAGGTATCAGGTCTGACTGTCAACTAAACATCTGACAGCTTACAGGATAGCCGTACAATTGGCCATTTGGTTCACCTGGATGTGAGGTGATGAGGAGAGTTCTGTTGTCCAGTGTCTGAACAGGTTTCTTGAAACCACACAAAGCCTCAACCAGCTGTAGCTCCATAGACATGATCAGGTCCTCTCCATTTGCCAGTCTGTAAGTATCAAATCCTGAGATTCCAAAATGGTGTATGCGAACAGGTTTTAATGTCAATATCTTATTTCAAATTATTGTGGCATCTTATATACTCTCTCTATATATATATATAGATAGATAGATAGATAGATAGATATAAACAGTCTATGCATGTTTTACCCAATAATCACACCATCACTGTAACTGTCTGTTAGCACAGATAACATCAGTGACAACAGACCATACGTTACCTGGTGAAATGTGGATGTTCTTGCTGGTCCAGGACAATGATGATATCACCTGGTTCAAGTCCTGGCTCCTGGTCTCCCTCTCCATGGAAAACAATCTTCTGACCATCTCTCATTCCTGTAGCAAAGTCATCAGGTGATGTTTGTGCAATATTTGTTTTGCCTTAGTTCAATCTTAAAATGGTTACAGGTGCATTTATATCAGCTCTCCCTACACTCTCACCTTTGTCAATGTGGACCTCCAAGATCTTCTTCTGTCGCAGGACCTTCCGGCCTCCACATGCTTTGCAGCGGTCCTTAGCGTTGATTCTTCGTCCTTGGCCCTGACAGCTGTGACACACTGTAGACAGTTGCTGGACCATACCTGGTATTAGTTGGTGCATGCGGACCTGCATACCTGTGCCATGACAAGACACGCACATCTGTGCAGCTCCTTTCCGACTCCCTCGGCCTAATACACACACACACACACAAAAAGTTTAATGCTATCTTTGTGTTAATGTTACCCTATTTCCAGGCTATAAACTGCGGTGACAAGGACAAGATTACATTTACGAGACTGATGCATGTTGTTATTGGACAAAGAGCACTGAAAAGCCAAGGATTACCAAAAAAGCCAAGTGAGAGACATTAGCAAGAACATATACTGTAAGTAAGTTGCACAGCAAGGATGTACCTTCACATCTCTCACAAATAGTATTCTTCTGGACAGCAAGTCTTCTTGTAGCCCCATTATAAAGCTCTTCCAGTGACACTGTAATCTGATGAAAAATATTCTTCCCTGGGATGAAACAAAAACACTGCATTATGAGACAAATCATACATTTTATCAATACTGGTTCTATTCTGTCTGCTTCTGGAATTGTATATTCATTTGTCAGGAACCACGTACAAAGATATACCGCACCAGGCATACAACATTTCAACTTACTGATTATTTCTCTAATATTTCTATACCTTTTCGTTCCCTGTGCATCCGACTGCCTCCACCAAAAAATAAGTCAAAGATGTCCATGGGTGAAGCAAAGCTCCCGCCGCCACCACCAGTCCCGCCTTCCTTTATAGCCTTTTCACCTCCATGGTCATAGAGCTCTCTCTTCTTGGCATCTGACAACACCTCATATGCCTGTGAAATCTGCTTGAACTATGACAGGGAAAAAAAAAAATTTGGTGAGGGCATAAATGTACAGAAGTGATGTTACGTGTGACACAGAGGCTTTGTTGCTTGTGTCGAAAATAAGGGGCATTTCCAAATTAAGCCTTGCTTCAAAGCTTGTGTCATCTCCCCGACTGTCAGGTGATCGATGACAAAGGCCTCAGTTTCTCGCAGAATCATGTGACTGTTTCAATCTGAGATACATGGATTCAAATTTTTGATACAAGGACCAAGAAACCTGAAACTTTTGCAATTGTAGCTGGATGAGTGCTCTACGGAGGGTGCTCAGACTTGACATTATGTTATTGTTTTAATTTTGTTTATTTTTTTTTTAGCAATGAGGATTTGAATCATGTTTAATTCAACTCTGGACAATTAAGAGTACAAACCACAATTAATATCTCCCTGTAAGATAAAGGGTAGCATATGTGTCATAATAGAAACTTTTGTTTCTCGAGAAACATCTGAAATTTCCTCTTTCCTCCTTCAGTTACAAAAGTATGTCAGTACTCTCAACATTACGACTGACGATGGCTGCGCTTCATTACTTTTAACAGCAGGTGTCACTAGTGAACTGAATCAAATGAGATTACGGGTGATGAACCTCTTGGTGATGCAATGGACTTCAAAAAGTCATTGCTTCAGGAAAGCATCGTTTGACCATCACTAATTTCTAGCAAGATAAGGCTACTTAAGAAAGCAGTCAAATCTTTGACATTGTACACAGATGGCTAGAGGTGGGAGGAAAAAAAGAATCAGTATAATCGTGCGAATAGTACAGGCTTACCTTCTCTCCTTCTGTAGGATTTTTGTCAGGGTGATATTTCAAGGCTAGTTTACGATAGGCCCTTTTCAGTTCATCCGGAGTAGCATTAGGTCTCACACCCAGTGTGTCATAGAAGCCTGTTTCCTTGACCATGTTTGCCTTTAATGGACAACCTTGGCAAAGAAAACAATAAAAACTACTATCATTTCAATACTTGGTTCCAATTTAGCTCAAACGTCAGACAAACCTTGCCTACAAATATTTGGTCTGTGAACTAAGAGCAAACAATATCTTCACCGTGATAAGACGCTTTGATGCTGTCAGTGTGTGTGTGTGTGTGTGTCGGCCAGTGGCCCAGGGGGAAGAATGGATTCCCCTAATTGTGATGCAGGCAGTGAAGACGGTGAAACTAGAGGAGGCTAGCTTCTACAATAAGACAATGATTCAAAGTGTGCCTCAAAATCCACCATTACCCACTTCAAGCGACACAAGGTGAAGCTTATGGAACAGCCCTCATATTATCAACTATAAAACGCTAGCGTTAACAGAACACAGCATATAACAGCAGCTACCTAAAGTTAACGCTTTAGGATTTATGAGGCCCTACACTTTAGCCACTTGGCCAAACAAATGATAGCCTGGATGACGCTAACCCGCTAGCTAGGCTGTTTTTCTAAGCTAAGCAACAATCCAGTATGACACTTGTATAAATTAAATACGTTTAGCTTAATTTTTCCCAACAATTATACGAAGACAGTATCTTGAATTCTCATAAGTTCAGAACAGACCTGAGTACCCAGCGACTTCGAGAATCTTCTAAGCCACCTCTGTCCAAAACGGCGTGACGTCAATATCTTGCGACGAGATAACTCACCAAAACAACTGCGTTGGGTGCAGCTTTGTACAGTTGGAATAATAGCCACATAAGATGTTAAAATGCCTGTTTGCTTGCTTATTAGTGAAGAGGGAAGTCATAAACCCATTCGGCTGCCTCATCTTCAGGCAGTCGTCCTGGGTCGAGGCCCTGAAACGACAATTAAAGACAAAAAATGCTCTCGGCATCAAGGTAACAATAGCTTGTCATATTTCAATTTGATATACTGGCTGAGAAAAGCTAATAACACTACTGGTCAAAAGCTTGACACCACCTTCATTCCCCAGTTTTTATTCTGACACTTAAGGAATTCAAGTGAATAGTCTCAAATGGTAACGTTACAGTGCTAATAAATTAACGGGCAGAGGTTAAACAAAAAAAAAGGGTAAATTTCATATAAAACATTGCTTTTTCAGGGGTCATGTAATGGGTCTCAGTCTTTTCTGCAGCAGTGGAAGTAAATGCAAACAATTTCCACAGGTGTCCCAACTTTCGTTGATTACTCTTAACAACCAGTTTTTATCAGTGTTGGAAAAAAACTGTTACTGCTCCCTCTGAAGCTTTATTTGCAAAAAAAAAAAAAACGGCAATTAACAAAGGAATTCAGACCTTGTCAGGGTTTCATCCTACAGCCGGATAATGAGCAAAAAAGAAAAACCTCTAGGCTGTGTAGAAGAGAAAAACAAGACTGTTGGCATCATATGATGGAATGGCAGCCCAGTGTCCAGACTTTCCAGATGAACAGTGAAAGCAAAGCAACCTACCAGTGTGACACATTTGTGGGAACGTCTACAACAATGTTGTCTATTTCAACTATAGAAAAATTTTTTTTCCACAAGTATGTTCGGCAGTTGAATTATTCTAATAACTGAAAAAAATGGAGGTGATGCCAAAGTTTTGACTGGTTGTTTATATTACCCTGTTGAACATTTGAATTGTTTGTTCTGCTTGTTCAGATTTGAGCTTCATTTCAATGGTTTACTGGCATGACATGTAATGCTGTTTGTGTTGTCAAGCAATTTAAACTAAATATTGGCCAAAAATGTAGCAGTTTTGATTACCACACTACTGATTATGCAATAAATGCCTAGCAGCGGTATATCTTTAAGAAGATTATCATTATTATATCATCTTGTATAGATACCTATTCATCATGTGATATGTTAATATGATGCTCAGCCTGCCTGAATACAGTCAGATCAGAAGCTCATGTTTTCATATACTGCATATTTTATATATTACACATACATTGGTAAGAAGTTGTTAGAATTATTTTTGATATTATTTAGGCTAGTAATTTCGCTCTATACTGCTATAATTGTAACAAATCTTGGAAATGTATTTAAAAACAGACCTTAACCTGTGAAAATGTTATCCCTTCTCAACCAGTTGAATTGAAAGCAGAATGCAACAAAGGTTATGTCAAAGTTAAACAGGTAAGCCACATAGAAAGCACTGATTTTGTCAGTGTGAAAGCAGTAAAGTGATATGAATTCAGGCTAATCCTTGCTGCTATTTTGAACATGCATTGTGAACCATTTTGGCTGCATAAGTTGTTTCTGCAGAATTGATGACTGAAAGGTCCCAGCACTGTTATGGTCACTGGACACTCATGTGTCTCATCTTCTGTTTGTATTCCAAAGCTGGGTGTGAACCCAACCTCCATAGACTCTGTGGTAGTGGGTACAGGCAATGAGGTCAAAATGAAGCCTGGACAGCAGCTTCATATTGTCAATCAGCTCTACCCATACACTGTACAGTTCAAGGAGGATCCCACTGGCAATCACAGTGGCACAAAAAGGCAGCGAGAGCCAGTTTCAGAGGACAAAGAAAGACAGAGAGAGGCTCAGAGTGCGAAAGCAGCCAAACACACAGAAAAGACCTCTGTGTCAGTCAGCCATGGAGAAGCCTCAAAAACCAATGTAAGAAAATGAATGTGTGCACGCGTATACAACACATTAGTATTATTTTGATGTGTCCACATTTCTTTCTTGTATGGCTCATATATGGAGGTGGTATGGGCATGTTATACAAAATAATGTTTTTAAGCTGAAATCTGTTGCAGGAAAGTATTGGACACTGGAGCCAAGGTCTGAAGACTTCAATGCAAGACCCAAAGATGCAGGTAGGTATTGTTAATAAAATAAATAAATAAATAAAAAAAAAAGATTGGTGTGATGCTTGCTGATCTGGGACATAGCATGGTTTTCTGACCAAGTCTGACAGTTTAGGACTCTTTCCATTTTTGTAGGTGTACAAGGATGATAAAGTAGTAGTAATTAAAGATAAATACCCCAAAGCTCGCTACCACTG